GCTACGGGACCTACTGCTACTCCGAGTAGGGCCACCGCGCCCCTTCCGCACGCGGACAGCGCCTGGGAGTCGTGGCGGGGTCTCTTGCTGCCCTTTCCCTCCAGCCTCTCCTCCCGCCAGATGAAGAGCAGCCCCTCCCGACCCGCCTTCCCGGGCCTCCTGGCGGGTCGGGTCGGGTGTCGGGAGGGGAGGGGGTGGCGCCCCGGTGATGGTGACGGGGTGTAGCTACGACCCCGGACCTGCGGACCAAGGCCCCGTGGCGGTTCGCGTGCCCCCAGCACACAACTCAGCCACTGCTAGGGGGTGGGAGGGGCGCCCAGGGGACATGAACTGACCTCTGTATACAGCAGTAAAATAACGGGAAGTTTTTGTGTTGGACGAAGCTGTAGGCGCAGCGAGGAGTCGAGGGTGAGGGGAACGAGCTCGATAAAGCGTGCTGACTGCGCTCTTGAAGGGCTGCTGCCGCTTCGGGGTGAGCCTGCGGGAGGGTGGCGAGGAGGGAGAGCTGCAGGCACCGAAGCGGGAATAGACGCGGAGAACCCAGGGTGTTCGCCGAGCACCACCAGGGGGCGCCACAAACTCACCTAAGATTCCTTCAAATCCGCCGGAAGCGCTCCAACCCCTAGTCCTACACCCCACCACCGAACAAATAAAAAGACCTAAAAATATTTCTAAATGCGTTTGTACCCTGCCAGTCTCCCAGGAGGGTTTTCAGGACTACTATTAAAGAAGGGAAAATTATACCGTTGTTACAACTAATGGGAAATCAACCCCGTGGAAGGAGGAGGCGGCAAACACCACACCAGCACGTCCCACAGGGTTGATACTTGGGGTGACTGTGCATTTGGTTTAGCGCTCACCACCACCATGGCCGCCAGGGAAAAGGGGCAACGGGACCGGAGCACTCTTAACATCCGGCTAAAGGAAGCATACCAGTAACTCTACGTACAAACTCGAATGCCATTAATTCATTTTTCATATATATTATTTTTTATTTTTTACTGTTCAAGCAATCTATCTGCACCACAAAAGCCTGGTCTAGAGAATAGTAATGACTGGAGCAAAGGTCATGAACTTTCTAATGGCACTTTATACATGTAAACTTGCATTCCAAGACGGTTCTTGCTATGATTGTTAAAGATAATTCATCCCATAGGACTTTGTATAAGGGACAGAGAATGATCAAAGAATAGCATTTTCAATAACCCACAGATAGCAAATGAAATATTTGTGCTAGTTCTAAGCTTTGATTTTCCTGTCTTGGTCATTGGATAATACCTTCCTCCCAAGGTTGCCGGGAGCAGAATTGAGACAATGCCTGCACTGGGTAGTACATGCCTGTTACACCTAAGAGGCACTCAGTAAGTGGTAACTATAATAATCAATGATTGTTATTATAACAATAATAGCAATAATAGAACAATTATTATTATTCAGGTTCTTAGCAGGTAGCTTGTAGGATTGGTTGCTGTATGGCATTGTATTAGTCAGAACACGCTAACTTATGATGTGACGACAAACAAACCCCAAATCTCAGTGGCTTAAAATAAAAGTTTCTCACTTAGGTAGGCTACATGTACATTATGGTCAACAAGGGGGTGGTTCTTCTCATTTTAGTTATTCAGGGACCCAGGCTGATAGAGTAGTCACCATCTCAAATGCTGTAAGTCACTATGCCAGAAGTAAAAAAATAATAGCTATGGCCCAGAGGGACACCTGTTCCTTCTGTTCACAAGTCAGTTTTCCAGAACTGATTACGTGGCCCCACTCAACCACAAGGGGGCGGGAAAGAGCAGTCACCTTGGCCTAGAAGCAAAATTGGAAATACTATTTGGTAGCAGCAGCAGTACCCAAGTCTACCACAAGCACCAAGGAGGGCAGTATAGATTCTGGGACACATTGGTATTCTCCCATCCCCCATCTTATCTCAAAACCATTAACTGCATTTAAGGAATGAATTCATGTAATGAATTACAACCACAAAGACCCTTTTTAAAAACAAGTTAACATTTACAAGTGTCAGGGATTTGGATGTGGACATATCTTTTTGTGGCCACCATTCAACTCACCCATTAACTTTTTATGTAATACCTACTGATGATCATTTTCTAGAGCCATTATTTCATTAGGAGTACAAAATGGAGATGTTCTAATTTTGTTATCCCTCCTTCACTTATTAGCTGTACTCTGTAATCATCCTATATAATAAAAGGCAAATATGCAAATCAACCAAACGGTGGAACGACCGGTTGCTATGATGCACACTGACCACCAGGGGGCAGACGCTCAGTGCAGGAGACCTGTAACAGGCTCAGGCAGAAGCCCTGAAGCCCTGAGCCGGGCTCATGGCTGGTGAGTGCAGTGGAGGTGGCAGGAGCCTCTCCCGCCTCTGTTGCAGTGCTAAGGATGTCCGACTGCCAGCTTACTGCCAGCTTAGGCCCACTCCCCGCAGGGAGCGGGACTAAGCCATCAGTCAGACATCCCTCAAGGGCTTTGGACTGCACGAGGGCACAGGCTGAGCTGAGGGACCCCCCAGAGTGCACGAATTTCGTGCACCGGGCCTCTAGTCTACTATAAAGGAAAATTTCCCTCATCAACTATTTTGTTACCCTGACATATCACCCATTCAGGAAATGTAAGCTTAATACTTGATTCTCTTTCATTTTTCTTAGATGGCTGCTATGGACTATATTTTGTGCTTCCCTTCCCCCCAAAATTCATATGTTAAAACCCTAATCCCCAATGCCACTGTATTTGAAGATGGGGCCTTTGGGAGGTAATTAAGCCCATCGGGGGGATCCCTCATGAGAAGAGAATCAGGAGAACATGCTTCTCTCTGCTCTCCACAAGGTGAGAATGCAATGAGAAGCTGCTGCCTGTCAACCAGGAAGTGGGCCCTCACCACACACCAGATCTGCTGGCCTCCAGAACTGTGAGAAATAAATGTTAGTTGCACCCCACCTATGGTCATTTGTTATAGCAGCCCAAACTGACTAAGACAATGGGGTTCCCTAAAAGCAAACGTTGAATTAAGATTTTTGCGCCCAGCCAGCGTGGCTCAGTGGTTGAGCATTGACCTATGAACCAGAAGGTCATGACTCGATTCCCAGTCAGGGCACATGCCTGGGTTGTGGGTGACCCCATTGTGGGGTGTGCAGGAGGCAGCCGATCAATGATTCTCTCTCATCATTGATGTTTCTATCTCTCCTCCTCTCCCTCTCTGAAATCAATAAAAATGTATACTTTTTAAAAAGACTTTGAGTACAAGTAGTTTGAGTATAAAACTTTGAGTTCAAGGTCATGCTAAGATGCACTGGTAGAGGAGTGGAGAACTGAGACCGGAAAGGGAGGGAAGCCACTGAAAGCTGTGTAATAGAGCAGGTGGAGCAACTGAGGCTCAGTCCTTTGGGGAATTCTGGAAGACAGTGTAGAACCTGTCTCAGAGAATCCTACCCAAGGGGCAATGGAACTAGGGTATTATTGGTGAACTTCCTGTTGGAAGATTGAGGGTTGCTTCTGGAAGCATTAACCCTCTAGTATTCCTGGCTAGCCCTGTGCTCAAACATGTTCCCACAGCCAGGAAAAAAAAAAAGCCCTCAGGCAGATTCCCAGATGTTCACCAAGAGCCTTCTTGCAGAGGTGATGCTGAAGAACATGGGTCGTATCTACAGTCCACCCTTTGCAGTGCTCAGATCCATTTGTGTCCCCATGTTAAATTCACTTTGTCCTGTCACTGATTCTTCAACATGGTGGCTGATGGCAATTTCTAAATCTTAAAAAAAAAAAAAAAGTGTCTTGCAACAGGAGGGCTCGTGGGACAAACTACAATAGCCGTTGCTGCAGTTGGTTCCAAGGAGTAATCAATATTCAACATCTCCCTCCTCTACAATTAATTCTGTTGGTCTCTGGTGTTTTCACAATGGAAAAACCCAGACCTTCATCCTTGAAGGCCTCAGCCTTTCATTGCCATGCCCTTGAGAGACCAACATTGCTGCAATTGCCTGTTCATGATTACCATTGGACATGGAATAACCAAGATCAAATGTCTTTGTCAGTATACATTTTTTTGGTCTACTGGTCAATTGGCATGAGGTACCCAAAATGA